AACGTTTGTGTTAATTAAAATGCATATCATTGAAGACCTTATTAAAAGTAGCTTAAGTGGTAAGCTGTCTCATCTCACCCACTGGCAATTTTGAAGTCTAGGCAGTTAGTTTCCAGAACGTGGCCTCTTGTGCTTTCCCTCTTCCTGCCCTGCCATCCTGACCATCTTGGTGGAGCTGCTCCTCAGAGTGGCAAGATGGCCATTTTCTTCTGCTGTTTGTTTGGTATTTAAGAGTGAGAAAAACATTTCCCAGTAACACTGCAGGTAAAGTTGTGTCATATATTCATACTGTGCCCCTATTATCAGAGTATTACTTGTTTTAAGTAGTTCTACTTGATTAGGATTCTCTACCTGAGAGAAGGTGGGTGAGTGTTTTGCCAGCCTGTAGGAGAGGGGACAGCATGTCACTGAGGAAGTTATCACAGTGTTTTCACATCTAGTGAAGATTGCAGTTTTGTTTATTTCCAAAACCTCTTGTGAGATGATGTGCTGTGGCCCTGCTTGTGGAGTGCACTTGCTGTATTCCAGTTGTTCTTTTAGGCTGGGGGAATAGAGCATTCAGGCAAAAAGGCCTTGCTTTTGCCTCAAAGCTTACCCATTATTGGTGAGACAGACAAAGTGATTCAGTGTTACAGTATCTTATTACTGCCAAGTGTGGTGGCACATGCCTTTAATCCCAGCCCTTGGCAGGCAGAGGCAGGCAGATCTCTGTGAGTTCGAGGCCAGCCTGGTCTACATAGCAAGTTCCAGGACAGCTGGGACTACAGGGAGACCCTGTCTCAAAAATATCAAAAACAAAAACAACAACAACAACAACAAAAACCAATATCCTATTACTAAGTGCTAAATAAAAATGAAGCAGAGAATTCAGGGAAAACCTGGAGCCATGTACATGAGAGTTTAGATGTGTCCTGGAAGCCCTCACCTAGATGTAACTTAAAGGCTGAATTGGCTCAGGAGCTGGTCATGCAGTTTTCTGGGCATGATGCTCTCTGTCAGCAGCCCTGTGGCTACTGTGGGTGAGTGAGCTGAGTTTAGAAGGGGAAGGAAGTCACTAGACATCTTTCAGCAGAGGAATGACCTGATACAACATTTTAACAGATCACCGTAAAAGAGTGGCAAGCCTTAAACAAATCTGCTGTATGTTTTACCAATGTAACTTTAAGTGTATTCAAAGCATTTAGATATTGAACATGGGTTTACTTAGGTCCATTTTAATTACAGTCTTTTTAAAAAATATTTTATTTTTATTTTATGTGTATGCATGTATTGCCTGCATGTATATAAGGGCACCCATGTCATGCAGTGCCCACGGAGGACAGAAGAGGCCTTCAGAACCCCTGGAACTGGAGTTATAGACAGTTGTTAGCTGCCATGTGGCCTTTGGGATTTGAACCCAGGTCTTCTGCAAGAACAACCAGTGCTTTTTACTGCTGAGCCATCTCTCCAGCCCCTAATTCCAGTCTTAAAAATTGCATATTAAGCATTTATTCTTTGTATCAGTGCCTTATTTTTAAAGGCACAAACCTTGACAGAACAGAATAATAATTTTTAAAAGGAATACATTGCATGACTAGTGGTATGGGTTTGATTTTACATCTTTTTCCTCAGTGAAGTAACAAGCCTTCGAAAGTATATGTGTAGTTAGCAAATAGTTAATCTTCCTTGACTACAGGCTTTTTGTACAGTTTACAGTTAAACATATCATCAAATAGGAATCACAGCCAAAAGAAAGAATGAGTATCATTTTGTCATGCGGATGTTAAGAGGAGTGACTTCCCCTTGTTCTTAGTAGAGGAGTCAGTCCAAGATGTCTTTAGCCAGATTATTGTAGTCATTTGAATTTGACAAGGACAGAATGCATAGCTGAGAATTTCAATGTGAGTGTCACATGAAATGCTGAGAGGCACTTTAAAGTACCATTCATTACCAGTTCGCAGGATAGACACTCTGGAAGTATTTAACTAGAAACTTGGTTTAGAACGTCCTTAAAATGTCTTGTTTAAATTTTTTAAAAATAGTATGTTGTGTATGTTAATGAGTGTTTGCTGGAACATGCTCTACCTTTGAAGCAATTTCACTGGAGACATGGAATTGCGATTGGTTTTGAGATAGAAGCAGAATATTACCAACACAAGGGACTCATTGGGCAAAAAGCCTTGCTCTAAAAGATGAGTTAAGCATTTCTCATCACACTTTGGCCAGTCATGGTGACTATGTGCTGGCTGTGTCACCAGCTGCGAAGGACAGCCTGGGAAGATCCTGAAGGCCTGAACTGCAGTGAGTGACTCCCACGCAGTCACATCACTTTAGGTAATTTTTTCAGAATGAACAACTCCATAAGATATTTCTGAAGTGCAGTAAGTAAGCAGGCATTTTGTTTTTTTGAGACCAATGTGGCTAATGATAATTAGCCTCATTCTGTATTTGGTCAAGCTGTAAGCTTTTTTTCTGCAAGTCTGCTTTCATGTTCTTTTGAGTGTATCTCTTTGTATAGTCTTTTGCTTTTTATTTTATTTTATTTTTTGGTTTTTTGAGACAGGGTCTCCCTGTAGCCCTAGCTGTCCTGGAGCTCACTATGTAGACCAGGCTGGCCTTGAACTCACAGAGATCTGCCTGCCTCTGCTTCCCGAGTGCTGGGATTAAAGGCATGGACCACACCTGGCCAGTCTTTTGCTTTTTAAAAAGAAATTAAGTAAAAATCTACTGACTAGCAGTCAGCATTCCACATGTGAAAATCTGTGAGATGCTTACCCAAACAAGATTCTGATCAAAGTAAAGCTCCAATTTGCCACAGCGCAGCTGCTTATTTAATTTTACTGCGTCCCCCAATTGTAAATGGGGATACACCTGAGCATCACCGATTTGAGGTGCTTCAGATTTCAGAGATGGTGCTTTTCTTTCCATTTTTGAATATTTACATAAGTTTCACTAATTGAATATCACCAGTCCAAAATCCAAACTCTGAAATACCCCAAAATCCGAAGCTTTCTGTCAGAGCTTTGAACGTTCGGATTTTGGAGCATTTTGGAGTTCACATTTTCAGATGAAAAATGCCCAGCCTGTGCGTGCATACTAGGACACAAAGTAAAATGATCTCCCAAGAACCTATCACCTACTCTGAACCAGAACTTTACTAATGCAATTTTTCTATAAGAAGGTGCCCCCAAGCCTTGAGTACAATGGCACCTTCCTACTCTTCTAGCCCCAGGCCATTGTTTTAAATTTTGTTAATTATTTAGCTTGTTCTTTATAATACTACTTTTTCCACGTGGCTACTTAAATACTATGCTATTTAATTTCATGATTTTGTTAAGTTTTGTAAAAATCATGTTGTGTATGAGACTTGCTTTTTAAAATTTTTTTAAATCTGTGTTTATTTTATGTGTATGAGTGTTTTTGCCTGCAAATATGTAAGTGCATCCATGTCATGGAAAGACTGTGGAGGCCAAAAGAGGGCATCTGGTCCTCTGGAACTGGAGTTCTGGTAACCACTGAGCCATAGTTTTTTTGAAAGTTGTTTATATTGTTCTGAATAGTTACAGTTCATCTTTTTATTAAAAATTGTTTTAAGAAATTTTATTGTTGCAAGAATTTCATACATAAATTTTGATTATATTCAGACCTCCTCCCCCATCTTCACCCTCACCCTACCACCCCATCCCCTGCTTCATGTCTTCTATTAGCAACTGAAAAATCTCACCTATCGTACATATAATTGAGCTGGGTGTCAGAGAAATCGTATCTGATCAGGGTGTCAGTGATCTTTAATTCTTACACAGAGGTATGCCACAGTAAGAACCTTCCTTTTGTGCTTGGTTTGGGGTCAGAATATGACCAGGTTTCTTGGAATAGGATTTTTCACTCTTAATTTCAATTTTTCTTACACACCGCTTCGGATTGTCAAGAAGGGATTTCTCTTTTTCTTAGTGGTCAGAATGCTTCTTTTCCTCATCAAAATTAGTTGTTTGCAGCCATTGCATTCAGGTCAACTTTTGCTGTTCCCAGGCCTCACTCAGCACACTCACCCCACTGTGAACCAAGGCTTCTCCAATAGGCTGATTCTCCACAGGGTTTTACTATGGAAAAAAAAAAAAAAGCAGAAGTTAGGTCCTCACAGCAAGTAGCAATTAGCTCACAGGCCTTCAATCCAAGATTCTCTGAGTTGAGAAATTTCACAGCTTCACACGACAGCTTTACACCAGTATCCTCTAGCTTATTTTCTGAATTCTGTAGCCTTCTCTCAGATTCCTAATGTTGTTAAGGACTCCAGCCAGGTCTTGACAGCCACTGAGTAATGATGATGCTCAGTAAACCATGGAGACACCGGGGCACGTGGGTGGCCAGCAGCTTGGCCATCTTGGCTCCCCAGTTATCTTTCTCTCTTACTTGCCAAGTACTAAGTTCAAAACTTTGAGAGCAATGTAGAAACATCAAGATTCTTAATAAGGTCTGGAGAGATGGTTCAGCAGTTACGAGCACTGGTTGCTCTTGAGGACCGGAATTCCATTCCCAGCACCCACAAGGCATCTAGCAATTGTCCATAACTCCAATTCCAAGGGATTCAATGCCCTCTTCGGACCTCCTCCAGCATTGCATGACACGGGTGTGCATGCAGGAAAATACACTCATACACATAAAACTTAAAAGTAGTAAATGAAATATTTTTTTAAAAAATCTGTGGTAAAATAAAGAGGCCCAGAGTCTTGTTTTTTAAGCCCTTGTGCTGAGAATCACCGCCGTCACCACCATTGTGCTGACAGCCATCTTGGTTCTCCAGTTATTTTCTTTCTTACTTCCCAAGCCCTGTTCAGAATGTTGAGATCAATATAGAAGCAGCTATGGTCAGGTGAATGTTCAGCTTGTTTGATAAGATTCCTCATGTAGCATGCATTCAGTGTCTTGCAAGTCAGTGAACCTCCAGTAGGGGCCAGCTGCCTGGGTATACCTCATTCCTACACCATCTTTTCTCTCAACACCGTCACTTTGAGCTGCCTCATCATATTCCTGCCTGTGTGTATCAAAAGTCACACAGAACAATGAGTTCTGGGTTGCAAAAGAGGATTATTTTTGCCCTTGTCTTTCATGCCTTTGTCTACCAGTTGAACAAATACACACGCACAAAGTGTTTTCATATATTGTCTTTGTTGGGCAATATTACATTGTGTGAATTTATTCATTCTTGCACTGGTAGATATATGGACTTTTGCTGAGTATTTTTTGTTTACTCGTTTCATTTTGTTATTGTACAAGTTATTTTCCTGTTGTTGTGATAAAATAGCAGGGCCAGAACAACTTATAGAAGAGTTTATTTTGCCTTGCTGTTCCATCATGGTGGAGAAGTCGCAGCAACATCCACAGGGCCAGGAAGCTGGGTGATCATATCCTACATCTACACACAGGAAACAGAAAGGAAGAACAGGAAGTGGGGCAGTACTATGAACTGTCGAAATGGCGCCCAGCAAGCCTGCACCTCCTAGAGAGTCCATAACCTCCTCAAACAGTGCCACCAGCAGGGATAAAGTGTTAAAACACAGGAGCCTGTGGGGGACATTTTTCATTCAAACTGTTACTGGTGTATCTAACCTGATAGACTTAAACACACATATGATAGACTTACATATATGCAGTAACTATTTCAAAGAATTAATGAAGCCACCATTCCATTTTTTATAGTGTATGTGTGTATTGCCTGCATGTAGGTAAGTGCACCCGTGTCATGCAGTGCCCTTGGAGGTCAGAAGAGGCTGTCAGATCCCCTGGGACTGGAGTTATAGACAGTTGTTAGCCGCCATGTGGGTGCTGGGATTCAAACCTGGGTCTTCTGCAAGAACAACCAGTGTTCTTAACTGCTGAGCCATCTGTCCAGCCCCACCACCATTCTTTTTAATGTGTGTTCATGTGCACTTGCCAGACTTTAGGTTATATACCCACAAATACAAGTATAGGCAATGTTCAGTTATTTGAGACTGTGCTAAATTGTTGTCAGGTCATTAGAATAATTTGCATTTCACCAGTATTTTATCAGAAGGTCCCATCCAGACATATCATTGCCAGATCTTGGCATTATCTGGTGTCTTAACATTTCTCAATTTAATGGAAGCAAATAGCATTTGATTTTTTTCAAGCCAGTTGGGATTTCTTAAGTAAAGGAGGATTTGACTAAGGACAGCAATAACACATGCAGGTGGTGCGGGGGGGGGGGGGGGGAGGGCTTCCATGGAGAGGCCCCTGGTGGGTAACCTCCCTTTGTGTCTTAATTTGCTTCTCTCTTGTTCCTACTAAGGTGTTAAACATTGTTAAACATTTTTATGTCCATTGTTCTCTACTGGTGTAGGCTTCCATGAAATGTTTATTCATAGACTGGGGATATAGTTCAGGTGGTGTAGAGTTGCTTGGCATGCAGAAAGCCCTAGATTCACTCCTAAGCAGGGAAGGAAAGAAAGGAGGGAGGGAGGGAGGAAAGGAAGGGAAGGGAAGGGAAGGGAAGGGAAGGGAAGGGGGGAGGGACCAACCCTTTACCAATTAGTAGTTATACCTAATTCCCATATTTTACCAGCCTCAGCCCTAAGCAACCACTAATCTTATCTATTTCTATTAATTTGCCTGTTATAGAGAGGCCAAGTAAATCAAAGTTATACAAACATGATGATTTTTGTTGACTATTTTCACTTAGATGTTATAGGGTGCAGCAGTACTTTGTTCCTTTTTATGATTGAATAATATTCCTCTGAGCAGATTTGTCACATTTTGTTTACTCATCAGATAATGAATGGGCACTTTGGCTGCTTCCAGCTGTTTGTTATTATGATAGGATCCTGCAGGTTCTTCTGAGGACAAAGTTTTTGTTTTCTTTCTCTGTAGACCTAGGAGTGGAGTCTCTGGGTCATATAGTAACTGCTTTTTTTTTTTTGTCTTTATGACACAGGGTCTCCCTGTAGCCCCAGCTGTCCTGGAACTCACTATGTAGACCAGGCTGGCCTTGAACTCAGAGATCCACCTGCCTCTGCCTCCCGAGTGCTGGGATTAAAGGCCACCACGTCCAGCTGTAACTGCTGTTTTTTAAAGAATCATTTAACTCTTTCCATAATAGCTGTACCACCCACACTCTCTATATACACATATACTGTGTTCTGTAAGTACACAATATATCTTATATACTCTATATAGTTATCTTAAGTCTACTTTTGAATTCTTTGAAGAGTAATTGTGATATGTTAGGTTTAACTTAAATTCTGATTATTCTTTTAAGTAATGAAAGAAACTGTGGTCTATTTTACCTCATTTCTTTTAAAGCATGCTGTAGGGTGTATTTCTTAAATGTTTGCTAGAACTTGAGGTATAATTGAAATACCATGTAGTTGTGACACTAGAAACTGTGTTTTTAGATGTTCAGTCATTACTGCAGTCTATTTTAGAACATTATAATCACCCCAAAGAGTTCCTTCCTGCTCATACACAGTGACATCCCCCACTTCTCTGCTAGGGAAGGTGATCTGCTTTCCTCTGCCTATCATCCAACCTCTCTAGAACCTGATATATAAATGAGTGAGGCAGTATGGTTATCCCTCAAGCCTCCCTCTTTCACTAAGCATTAAGCTTCTGAGATCCCTCTTTGTTCCTTTCTCATTAGTTCTTTGTTTTTGATTACCACCTTAGGTTTCAGTTCATGGATATTGGCTTTGCTTACGATTTGGCTAAGATGATTGATACTGACCTCATTTGCATACAAGATTTGGAGGTGTTTTCATTTCTCTTTAAATATCTTTGAGCAAAATTGTTAGTATATGGTGAGTGTGTGTATACTTGTAACTGTATGTAACTGTCAGTCTTTTCCAAAGTGGGCAGGCCATTTTGTGCTCTCACTAGGAATGTAAGAAGCACTTCTTACATTCCCCTTGTCCTTTCTAACCTTTGGGGTTTTGTTTGTTCTAAGTTAAAAAAAAATGATAGCTCTTCTAGTGGGTTTGTAGTAGGATCTCATTGTCACATCGGGTCATTTGCATTTCTCTAGTGCGTAACTATGCTGGTCATCTTTTTTATGTGCTGACTAAGCATTCTGCTTTACTTTTAAAGCTTTACCTTATTTATTTATTTGTGTTTCATTAGATTATCTCATTTGGTTAGATTACCTCATTCTGGAGTTCTAAGAACTTTCACTCATGTTGGATATCATTTCTTTATCATGTAGCTACATCGCAAACATTTACTAGCATTCTGATGATTACTTTTATCCAACTGCTGTCTTTGGAGATTTTGAAAAGGTTCACTTTTTTTTTTTTTTTTTAATTTTTATGGATTGTGTTTCAATTCCCCTATCTAAGGAATCTTTCTTTAACTTATATTCAATCTTGTGAAGTTTCATTCTTGTAGTCACTTCAGACTATGATCCAATAATGAATTTGTGGTACAATAAATGTATGTACTTATTTATCTATTTACTTCCACATGTGGATATCCAACTGTTTCAATATCATTTATCATCGAGATTATTCTTTCTGTATCAAATTTCTATGACACACTTGTCAAAAATCAAGTGATGTTGAGTAGTACACTTAATTCTTGACCTTTTTGACCATAGGTCCAGCTTCATGCCTGTACAACACTGTTCTGGTTTCACTGTAACTTTAGTAAGTTTGGACATTAGATAGCTTAAGTCCCTTAACTTTATATCTTCATTTCTTGTTTTTTAAAGATTTATTTTAACTATGTGTACTTCGTGTGTTTATGTGTGGGTATGTACACATGAGTGCAGATGCCTGTGGAGGCCAGAATAGGATGTCAGATTCCTTGGAGCTGGAGTTACAGGCAATGTGGGTGATGGGAAATGGACTCAGTCTTCATCAGGAGCAGCAAGGGCTCTTAACTGCTGAGCCATCTCCCCAATCCTCATCTTCATTTTGAAAATGATTTTAGACATTCTTGCCTCTTTAGACTTTCACATGCATTTCAGGACCAAATTTTACAAAAAGAATAAAAACGCAACAAAAAACCCCTACAACCTAGTCATGATAGGATTTGCTGGATCCCTTTGGAAAGTCTGGCAACCATATTTAATATTCCAGTGAATTGAATCTTTGGTCCAATAAAAGACCAGTAGGATATATATCTTTGTTTCTCTAGATCACCTCTTATTTCTCTAACAGTATTTAGTACAAGTTTTGCATTTTTATTACAGTTATTTTTAAGTTTTTATTTTTTTTTGCTTTGACTTTATATGAATGAGTCCAGTTCTTGCAATCACTATATGATATTGTTCACATGTAGATGAGATGCAGTTCTTTTTGATTTGGGATCTGGTCATATACATTTATAGCTTACTTATTGCTCTTGATAGATATTTTGTAGATGCTTTGGGATGACCACCACAGATCAGGCCTCCTGTAGATGAGGATAATTTTAACTTCTTCCATCCACCTGTCTTTATATTGCTTATGTTCTATACCATTTTAGGGAGCAAAGCCTACAATCTTTTACTATTAATGCAATGTTAGCTGTGTTTATCCCAGAAAGGAAGGGTTGTTTTAACTTAGAAACATGTAATGTAGCTCACATTAAAGGAATAGAGTCAAACCCACATGATGATCTCAGGGGCTATAGTAAGAGCATTTGATGATATGAATGCATTAGTGGATAAAAAACTGAACAGAGCCCAGCATGGTGGCACACGCCTTTAATCCCAGCACTTGGAAGGCAGAGGCAGGCGGATATCTGTGAGTTCAAGGCCAGCCTGGTCTACATAGTGAATTCTAGCACAGCTGGGGCTACAGGGAGACCCTCTCTTAAAAAGACAAAAAAAAGCCGGGCGTGGTGGCACACGCCTTTAATCCCAGCACTCAGGAGGCAGACTACAAGGAGACTCTGTCTCAAAAAAAATAATAATAATAATAATAATAATAATTCAGCAACATTAAAAAAAAAAACAAGATACAGAAAAAAAAAACAAAAACTGAACAGACTCAGAACCAGGTGCAGAAGAGAATGAGCAGCAAACCTTCAGCTGATGGCATAACTAATAACAAATGTGAATTTTACCGAATATTTGAGGACACAGGCACAAATGTCCAGCTCGATCACTTTGATTCAGTTTTGGGCTGAGAGTTCTACCCTTTTTTTTTCTTTCCTGTCATAATATTTATACAACTTATTTTGGAAACTGTAGGAATATTAAAGAACAAAAAAAAATACGTGTTACAAAACACAAATTGAGTGATATGCCATGCTTCTTCTGTAACCAAATTCCTTGCTGTTTCCTTCCTTGCTTAATATTGTGTGCTCCAGTTTTGTTTTGTTTTGTTTTTTAAGATCTTGGTTATCTCGTGTTTGGCTTAACGGCCTCTGCACATGTTCTTCCTTTGGTGGGAATTCTCTTCACTTAATCTCTTTATGATTGGAGTTTAGCTTATTCAGACATCCTAAGTGTTACTTCTTTAGACTGACTTTTCCTGGGACTCTCGAGACAGTTCAGTAGGTTAATGTGCTTGCTGCCAAGACTGACCATCTGAGTTCAATCTCTGGGGCACACCACAGCAAGTGTATGCCTACACACACACACACACACACACACACACACACTCACACATATTAAATAAATGAATAAATAAATAAGTAAATATATGTAATAACAACTTAAATACCCTTTCCACTCAGGTTCTATAAAGTGACTTTCTCTCTAATTCTTGCTTTGAATGACTCAGGTCTTTTATTTTCTGTTTCCCTGTTTAGTCTGTCTCTCACGGGTACTGACTGTCATGTAGCAATTCAGGCACACAGTGCCCAGCCTTCTAGTTTATTTGAAACTGTTCAGTTCCATCGAATAGTATCTTGCTTTTTATTTTATTTTGTCTTTTTTGATACAGGGTTGCCTGACCTGATACTCACTCTGTCGACCAGGCTGGCCTCAAACTCACAGAGATCCACCTGCCTCGGCCTCCCAAGTGCTGGGATGAAAGGTGTGTGCCACCACACCCAGCGAGTATCTTGCTTTTTAATACCAGGTTTTGATGATTTTGCTAAGTCATTTCAGAGTCCGAAAACGTATTTTTTGACTGTGTAATGTTCCTCAGTGTAATTATTATCATTACTGAAATATTTTCTTTTCATCAATATGGTTCTATGGTTCTATTGTCATAGTTCTAAACACATTTGAAACATTCTGTGTCATTTTTGACTTGTATATAAGACTAATTTAACTACTTATCCACATAAGAACCTTATAAATCCTCAGCTGTAAGATTAGTCAGTCTGGATTATTTTTTTAAATAATTAAAAGAAAATTCCTCTGTGGCCTTATAGTGCTCAAGAGAGATATAATAATGCATTAATGGAGACTAGCCATTAAAATAAATAGTTCTAGAATGTCACCACAAAAGTAGACTTGGAATATTGCTACATCCTTCAATGAAAAGTACTAACCATGACCTTCATCTGCTTGGGTGTTCCTCTGTGTTACAAGAATCGAATTGAGAACACTGTAGACAAATAATACTATAAAGAGTTACTATTTATGTTACAGATAATGCCCACAGTTCAGATTTTTTCTTCTTCTTTAGCCTCCTATTGGCTTTGCCATTTGCAGTAACTTAAATTCAGTTTTCTAATCTATAAAGTGGGGATAATAGTAACTGCCTTATCAGGGTTCTTTTGAATCAGGTACGCATAGGCTTAGCATGGTTTTGGACTGTAATAGCTGCTCAGTGCAGGCCGCTGTCAGTCCCTTGAATCTCTGTCCAGGAGTATTGGCAAGAGCAGCAGTTGTAAAGCTTCCTTATGCTTAAAGGCATCGCCACACAGTCTAGCTCGTCATTAATGTTACTCTGATGATGCTCACTGCTACCGTTGTTGGGAGTTGGTGGTTTTCTTCATGGAATATACTTGTTTGGGGACTGTACCAAAGAGAACCTGTACAAAAAAAATTTAGTCAGAAAGATAGTATTTTAAAGTTCCATCAAGGGAAATCCTGTGACATCAATTTTTAGAGCACTCTCTGCCACATTCTTAAATATAGTCATTCTTACATTCTTGTTCCAACATTAAAATACAAGGTAATGAATGGCAGGATTTTTCAAGAACAAACAAATATAACTGAAAAAAATCAATTTAGTAGAATTTCAGTGACTGGGCAAATCCTGCCTAGAATTTGGGGTCTGCTCGGTGTCTGTTGTCCCCATGTAATCTCTGCCATAAAGGTCAAATATAGTCATGCCTCTTAAAGTGATTTGTAACTGGTAAAGCATGTAGCTTAATGATTGCTTCTGTTTTTCCAGTTAGGCCTGCCTCTTTCTCTATTTAGTAGGTCACTGGTGGAGGCAGGACAATAGTCCAGAACTACTACTGCTTCTTAGAATTGTTTTATGCCTGTAGTAGGGAAGGAACAATTTTAGATTATTATTTTCATCCTTTAATTTGTTTTTTAAGTTGTTTTTTATCCTTAATATATTACTCAATATTCTTATGTAATATTTTAATGGTTGCATAGTATCCCATGGCATAATATATCATTATTTAGTTACTTTTAAGATTATTTATTCTGACATGTACTAGCTATATCTAACTTTTGCTATTAGAAATACCATATATTGGGGCTGGAGAAATGGCTCAGTAGTTAAGAACACTGGTTGTTCTTGCAGAAGACTCAGGTTCGAATCCCTGCACCCATATGGCAGCTAACAACTGTCTGTAACTCCAGTCCCAGAGGATCTGATAGCCTCTTCTGACCTCCGTGGGCATTGCATGACACGGGTGCACTTACCTACATGCAGGCAATACATGCATACACATAAAATAAAAATAATAAATAATTTTTTTAAAAAAAAGAAGTAATATATTACAAACACTTATTGCTAAATATTTGTACATATTTATACTTTTTTAAAAAAATAGGATAAATCTTAGGCTTGGAGTTACTACATAAAAGGGACATAAAACATTTTAAGGCATTTGACTTTTTTATCAGCTTCATTGAGGTATTGGGCATAATAAAATATACATATGTGTTGCCATACACACTACCTGAAACCATCACCACAATTCAAATAAGACCTGTTTGAATTCCTTTTCTGTGTACCCTCCTTTCCCAGGAAACCCCATTGATCTACTTCTTTTCTTTTTTTTTTTTTTTTTTTTTTTCTGCATGGTTCGGTCTTTGGTCTCCCTGTAGCCCCTGCTGGCCTAGAACTCACAGAGATCCTCTTGAGTGCTGGGATTAAAGGTGTGCGCCACCACACCCAACTAGTCTCTTTCTTTTATAATGAATTACTTTACATCAACTAAGATTGTATGCAATGGAATTACACTTAGCATGTTTGTTTTTATCTTGTTTCTTGTAGTCAGAGTAATTTCTAAGCTTTTTACTGTTGTTATATCAATGTGCTATTGGCACAGTGTTGTAAGATTACATTGTGTGAACATGCCACAGTTCATTCACCTAGAGGTGGTATTTGAATTGTTTCCAGTTGGATGCTGTTAAAAATAACTGGTTCAGCTTTGCTTTACCCATATTTACAGATATAAGGCAATTGATATTTGTTGTGTTAGAAAGGTTGTTATTTTGAAACTGAAGAAATTTATTATTTCCCTTTCTTACTTTCTTTTTTGGAGATATCCCTTTAGGAATATGTAGAATTATTGGATGTCAAAACCTCAAATTTTTAGCTTAACATAGATTAATAGCATATCCTAGCGACTAAATACCATTTCACAGTTTATTTTGTTGGAGCACCTACTTTAATCAGTTAGATAAATGCAGCATCTGGATAGCAAAGATCTTTTGCATTCCTTTAATGAGCTGATATTCACAAACAGTTTATATTTCCTTGTCAAATGATTCCTTCTGTGGCGTTTGAACAAGAAAAGGTTCTGATATAAACTTTTTGAACTTAACAAAAAAAGGTTGTCAAACTGTCGTTTCCCTTTTCTTAAGATGCACAGTTAACTGAAGGAGGACAGGAGAATCCAAAGACTCCGGGTGACATCAGAGCTCCTTTTCAACAGCCTTCTCAGTTTCCTTTCTCAGAAAGCAGAGGCTCAAACCTTGGAGACAGACGGTGAGAATACCGTTCCTCCTTTTGACTCAATCATTTGGGCTTTAATGTGTTTCAGTTTCTTTCTTGGTTGTAAATTAGTTTACAATCACCTGATCTCTGTTTTGTCTGTGAATTCAGTAAGCATTGTAGTTTAAAAGTACATAAGATCTAATCTTTAAGGAACTTACAAGGAAAGATGTGGTGCAAACAAATAAATGTAAGCAAACAATAACAGAGGTTAAGTGTTATAAGAAAAGCATAAGAAATTGTGACTAGAAATGGATAGATGACTTTTGGAAAGATAACTGGTAAGATTAAAAAAAATAGTGTTTTTATTGATGATATTTTTAATATCAAAACCCACAGAAAATGTAAAGTTAATATAAAATCTAAAATAGTAATCCTGCTTCATATAAAAAGTTAATTTTTGGAGAAAAAAATAGAAATGTGTTTTTATTATTGTGGGTGTATGAGAGTAGCCTCTTAAAAGGTGTTTCTGAGAAATCATAAAATGATTGGTTTGAATAAACACAAGTAGGTGGGTAGTGAACAGAAGAAATGTGTGAGGAGCCAGCTCTGGTCAAGTAACATGCCTGTGTTCTATCAGAACTGCAACCCAAGTGAGTTTCTCACATCTTGAGCCCTTGAACCTTATGCTATTTATTCCTAGGCAGAAGAAGTCCACTTAAACTAGGAAAAGGCATAGTGATTGATGATTTTGCTTGTAAGTGCTTGGAAGAGTTCACTTTTAGTCAGAGAAAGAACTCAAAACTGGTCAGAAGAATGACAGCAGATACACCCTAAATTTGCTTGTTTTAGTTGACATGGTATTACAAAATAGGACTGGTAACGCTAAGCCAACTTTGTTCTGTTCTTGGGGCTTGACAGGTGGTATCTATTGATGTCTGCGTGGTATCATTATTCTGTTCATATTCAGAAAACCTAGTGGTAAATTAGCTTAAATCATTCTACTAAATATTTATCTTATAATTTCACCATAAAACATTGTTTTTAAAAACTGCATAAAATTGTCAGTATTTAGTTACTAGTTGTTTTTCACAATTTTATATTTTGTCTTCCTCTATCTTAGAACTTAAATCAACTATGCTTTTCTTTATAAACAATGTTAGTTTTTTCACTAACATTGTATGTTAATGAAAATCAACACACTAAAGCCTGCATATATACACACATATACTTACACACGAACACATAGTTGGTATTGAACTCCTTTCTCCACCCTTACTTTTGTTAAAGTGAACATTAAAAGAATGCACATTCCTCTGAGTCCTTCCTAGATACAATTAATTCCTTGGTGTTTGTCAACACCCTCATTTTGCCAAGTTACCAGAAGAGGCAACAATCACTTAGGAGGTGACCTGGAGAATCATAGATAGCAATCAGCTGACTACATAGCCAATGAGAATTCCTTAGAAAATGAGTAAATCTAGCCAATGTGGTGGCACTGTGACCCCATCAGTGGAGGCTGAAACAGGAAGGCTTTTGAGTTATAGCCCAGAATGGGCCACATGGTATCTATGAGAGGCAGCTGTTATGAAATGAAGTGGAAAAGGGGAAACCAGCAAATGTAGGTCTTCTTTCTAAGTTAAATAGGATTGTTTAGAACAGTGAACAATTTTGAAAGAAATAAATCATTAATAGTGATTTTTCTAGATCCTTTGTATACATTTAAAATGTTTCAAGATTTTTTAAAGTGAGTATGCTCAGTTTTTATTTTCTAATGTGCGCTTTGTGTGGGCTGACAATGTGGCTTAGTTGATCAAGTGCTTGCCTAACGCGCAGGAAGCCCTGGAGTCAGTCCCCGACACAGTGTAAAACTAACCCTCTTTCACAGCCTTATACTCCCAACACTCAGGAGGTGGGGGCAGGAAGATAACAAGTCAAGATTATCCTCCTCCACTACATAGTAACTTGGAGACCAGCCTTTAGTCCCAGCACTCAGGGGCAGGGGAAGGAGGATCTCTGTGAGCTCCAGGTCAGCCTGGTCTACAGAGCGAAATCCAGGCCAGCTAGGACTACAGGGAGACCCTGTCTCAAAAAGACCAAAAAATAAAAAACAATTGCAGGCCCAGCATGGTGGTGCATGCCTTTAATCCTAGTGCTCTGGAGACAGAAGTAGCTGAATCTCTGCGAGAGATCAAGGCCAGCCTGGTCTACATAGCAAGTTCTAGACCAGCTGGGCTATAGTTGTATCAAAATAATAATAATAATAATCCCATAAAACTGAACATCTTGGGTACAATTAGCTAATTGACTATGAGTCATTTTAGTGTAAACACTTAAATATAATAATTTTCCCACAGAAGGGAACTTTAACTGTCATATGTCATGTTTTTTCTCAAGGACGAGTTCTTTATTGTATGTTTCTTTCTAATTTGATTAAATTGTTGATGACTTTCAACAAATGTTTTGAGTATTAAAACTTTTATGTCAGTGATATGAAAGTGGCCCATGATAGCTGGTTCTTACAGATTAGGATGCTAGGTTGGTATGGTGTGATGAATGAATACTTGGAAATATCTTCCTGAACCTTTATAAAACACTCCAGAGGGCTAGTGAAAATGCCTTAGCAGACAAGAGCACCAGCTGCCAACCCTAGCAACCTGAGTTCAATCCCCTGACACAGGTGGTGGAAGGAGAGAATTGAGAATTGGCTTTTGAAAATTGGTCTCTGTCCTCCACATGCATGCTGTGGCATGTATGCGACACACATGCACTAAATAAACAAACAAATATTTAAAAACTAAAACACTCCTGAAAGAACCTCAATTCTCCTTATCCAGAGGTCCCCAGTGGATGCCTGACAACCTACAGCATCCCCCAGGTACAGTAACATACCATATATGCCTACCTGGTACAGTTAATTTAAAGCTAGCTGCAATAAGAGACCAACAATAATCACAAATAATAAGAAAAATATAGTAATATAGTATAACAAAAGTTTGGGAGTTTTCTTTCTCTAGCTTGAAGTATCTTAGGTATTGCACTAACCATGCTGGAAAAAGATAACTGAAACTGGAAATTGAAATCTTGGATATATAGTAATGGATTAATTTAATGCTTTCTGTTTAATAAATAATAGTTTGTGAAAGGTATTCAAATTTCCAAAGTTTTCGGTAGGAACATGTTGCAGACAAAACCCAAATCAGTCCTTTTAATTGGAATTAATTGCTGTACAACAACTTGGCTGCCATTAACTAGTTTGGCTGTCCCACTGATGTTTCCCTGGCTTCGTGGGCAACCCTGGTCAGAAAACCTAGATGCTTGGCTCAAATGAAGCGTTGTTCCTTTCCAACATTGCTTCCACCTACTTTACTCTCACAGCCAGCCATCTTATTCCAGAGCCTTACTATTTATCTGCCCATGTCCTACCTCCGTTTCTGGGCCACCAGCTTTTCGTAAAGCACCAACTTATTTGTGTTATTTTTCTAGTCATAAAATACTTAAGTGAGTCTTAAAATGACAAGGCTTTCTTAATTAATCCTAACAGCATGACAGTAGGAAGCCCTATAATTAACATTTCTTCTAAATTTGGTTTCTGTAAAGAATGGCCTTTCCTTAACTCTTCTCCTGAATACTTTAATTAATACAAGTAACATTATTTGAGGAGGAAAATCTCTACTGTACTAAACTTCTGTATCTACTCAGGAATTTCTTTCCTACAAAAGACTTCAAATGAAATAAGTAAAATAATTAAAAACTCTGTTGCACCAACTGTAAATTCATTTTATTGCATGGACCCTAGTCTCTTTCATTTGAGTTAACTGGCAAACCTGATATTCTTGATTCTTTGCACATTTGCCCTTCAACCATGTGCTCTGTGGTTTGCCATCTGAACTTGGTATGTGTCTAATAATAGAGCTTATTGTACATTTTATTTTGGTAGTAGAATTTCCCCATTTGGGATCAGATATAAGCCAATCATTTGCAAGCCCTGTTGATCTTTGCTTCGCTTACATATAGTAAAACTGTCCATAGGGCAGTTGGAGCAAATGCAGTGAAAGCTGTGTCTCTGATCCCTGGCACCAAGAAGACAAAATAAAAAATGAAAGAAAAAAGAAGAATATTCTCTTATGTCAAAACGAATTTACAGCTGATACAACAGAGTTTTTAATTATTGCCACCTTGCTTGCATCCTCTGCCATGCTCCAGACTGTCCTCTGAGCTCATGCTGCTCAGTGCCCATAGTGAAGTTCCCGCTTTTGTTTTAGTGTTTCCATTCATTTTAGTGTTTTAGTAGTTAGACACATTCACCCTTTTAAAAAGGCACCTGTATGTGTTAGATTGGAAATTAAGCAAAAGACATGCAGATTATACCTCCACATCTTTCATGAAACTCAAGGGCCCTCAGATTACTGTCACATCCTATGTAAGTTTCTCATTATTGGCAATTTCTGTTCTTTGAGGAGGCAACTTTGTTTCTAGAACATTTTGTCTTGTATCCAGCCATGCCTCCTTTCCTGGGTTGATGTCCCTCCCACTCCTTTAAGAGTACTAAAGTTTCTTTTCCAGCTGGCAAAGCCCTTGATTGTCCCTACAACCACCTCATACCACACCTCTGTAAACTGCCTCCTTCAGAAACTGCTCTCCGCTGTCCCCCTACCTATATCCAGAAAATTTGTCCCTCAGTGCCTTCTCCTTTGTATTTGTGTTTTTATTTAAGTATTATCTCAGAATGTGGTTGATTACATTTTTTCTTGAAAAGCTTATGAAGCTTGTACAGGCTGATTTGTCACTGGCTCCTTGTAGCAACAGCTCATAACATACAGCTGCTTTATCAACATTTGTGGTATACCGTACTTATAGTATGGTAAACTCAGAACAGTCCTGACTACAAAGATGGGAGATATTTCAAGTCCTTCTTCACCTGCTAATCTTTTTTTAAAAGAGATCCTTTCCTTTCGTCAACTAGATCTTGGAGGCATTTCTTCTTTTTTCTTTCGTTTTTCATTTTGCCCTCTCAGTGCTAGGGATCAGAGGCTTCATGCGTGCTAGGCAAG